AGATGAGATGAGATGAGATGAGATGAGATGAGATGAGATGAGATGAGATGAGATGGCAGGCAGGCAGGCAGGCAGGCAGGCAGGATAAATGTTTGCCTTTTGTTTATCTTTTTCTCTCTCTTTGCTTATTCCTGCCTTTTGTCTCATTTTTGCCAATTAATTGTTTTGACATTTGCGGGCGTACAATAAATAAACATCAAGCTACGTCTCTTTGCTAGCTAGACTGAGTGGCCCACGCACTTGCTCTGATCTGGATATGGGAATTGACTGTGAATGTGCTGGGTTCAAACTAAGCCTGGAACTTATCCACAGAAATTGGGATAATTTTATCTCAACACAGTCTAAGGCAGTGTTTCTCAACCTTAGTGACTTTAAGATGTGTGGACTTCAGCTCCCAGAATTCCCAGCCTTGGCTGGCTGGGGAATTCTGGGAGTTGAAGTCCACACATCTTAAAGTCGCTAAGGTTGAGAAACACCGGTCTAAGGGCAGCCATTATTCTGGAGGAAAAAGAGATTACCGCCGCGATTGAGAAGAGAAGCAACAGATATGGATCAGCAACTTTCATGCGAGAATTGTTTTCTGTTGATTCCAGGGGGGTGGAGAACAATTCAGCTCAGCAGTAGGGAGAAGCCCAGAAGTGAAATCACAGCAAAAGTAGGATTCTTGAACTGCAGTCTGTAAACTGGGATATCACTCACAATGATTATTGTTTGCCTTGCCACTCGTTCTCATTTTTATGGTCATCTCTCTTTATTGCTTATGATTATAGATGCACTAATTTCGTTACATGTGCATTGATTAATATTAATGCAGGTTTTTTTAGATTTTTGATGTGCCTTTATTATTTTTATAAATAATTCAAGGCAGCGAACATGCCTAACGCTCCTTCCTCCTCCTATTTTCCCCACAACAACCCTGTGAGATGAATTGGGCTGAGAGAGGGGGACTGGCCCAAAGTCACCCAGCCGCCTTTCATGCCTAAGATGGGACCAGAACGCAGAGTCTCCTGGTTTCTAGCCTGGGGCCTTCACCACTAAATGAAATGCAAATATTTTAGAGGATGAATGGAAAATTGCAGGAGGTAGTACAATGGACAAAGATGAGATCATGAAACTGGAAATAAAGAAGCTGTGTGGAGAAACAGGGTCAGCTGGAAAACTGAAAATCGGGACTGTTAGAAAGACTTTAGGCTGTCAAAAAAGATGAGTAGGAACCCTGAGATCTCTCACAGAATGTCTTGTTCTCTGTAAACTAATGAATTGGCTGAAAGTTCAAAGAATAGTGAATATGTTTTTGTAGGCACACATTGCTTTGCAGAAATAGTAGACTGTATGATGCAATTAGGAATATGGATCTGGAAATTATTTATCAAGACCTAAATAGTTGTGATTGACAGGGAAAATGAAGTGAATGATTGCAAGTTATAGACAAATGGCAAAAACAGATCAAGTGGAAATCTGATCAAATGTTTGTTAAAGATGGGGAGATGGAAAAAAATTAAACAAATATGGTAGAAAGGTATAGTGTGGGATCTGTTGTGAGGTAGTAATGTTTGTTAAGAGAACCAAAATGGCTGTTAAGATTCACTAGACGTTAAGCCCAACTTGAGACTTTACTTTTTAACCGAACAGATCTAATACAACTGATCAAAAATAGCAACGTAATGGGTCTGCCTAATCCTTTTCTCTAGTGATTCCTCTTTTTATCCTTTCAGTTAACAGGAATTGCTCCACAGAACTCTAGACACAGACAAATGCCTACAGCAGTGTCTCTCAACCATGGCCACTTTAAGCTGTATGGACTTC